TAAGGAATAAAGCACACACTACATCCAAACATACCTTATTACACATGACAATTAGCCTAACCCCTTATCTCCAATTCCATTATTTGTATTTTAATTAGCATTGATTATGCGTTTTGGATATTTGCAAATGCGAAAACGCTTATTGTGACGACCCCGGTGTGTGTGTGTATGTGTGTGTACGCCGCGCGCGAGTCTGTCCGAGTATTTCAACTGGGCACCCAAGCAAGTTCCGGCACCAAAAGTTCGCCGGTGGGTTCCCCGGCCAAGTGCCAACCCAGGACCGCGGTATCAACCCTCACCCAACCCTGGGCTCCGCGTACGAGGGAGTGGAAGTTTTGGCGGGACAATCGCTAACTCGGGAACCAGAAAAGCTAGAAAGCTGAAATTTCGAGGTTGTGTCCCTTGTCCACGTAGAACTCAAAGATTTCACATTCAGCCCCCAGGTATGTGTGGTTCCCGAGCATGGCCCCATGAGGGCTCCTGGCGCGAAAACCGCTAACTCAGGAACCAAAAAAGCAGGAGGGCTGAAACTTTCAGAGATATCCCCAACAAAAGTACAACTTACAGTTATCAAACTCAGCCCCTCAGTGTGCGTAATACTCACGCACGGCCTCGTGAAAATTTTTGGCGAGAAAATGGCTAATTCGGGAACCACAAAAGCAAGAAAGCTGAAATTTTTAGGGGGTGTTCCCAGCTCATGTACAACCTAAAATTATCGAATTCAGCCCCTCGGAGTGCATGGTCTTCATGTGCTGCCGCATGAAACTTTTTGTCGGGAAAATGGCTAACTCGGGAACGGGAGAAGCCGGGAGGCTGAATTTTCAGGGAATGCTCCCAGCGCATGTACAACAAAAATTTATAAGGTTCAGCCCTCAGGCATTCGTGTTCTCGCATATGGCCCCATAAAATTTTTTGGAGGAAAAATGGCTAACTTTGGAAATAGGAAGGCTGGAAGATGAAATTTTAAGGTATGTTCCTAGCCGCCGTAATAATCAAAGAAATCAAATTAATCTCCCAGATACGTGTGGTTCTTATGTACGGACTCATGAATTTTTTTGGCAGGAAAATTGCTAAATTATGAACCGGAGAAGTTGGAATGCTGAAATTTTAAATTAATGTTCTCCATCCAATTACCGTGTAGACAATTAACTTCTCGAACTTCGAGGACCATTATGTCACAAATCCTAGCTACTAGGTTATCGAGTGTTCTCATTACAGCACGAAATACTGCAAAAACACATGATCGCACGGACCCACCCTGTGTGTGTCGCCAGTGATTCATTATTGCGTTCCTCGCTAGTGACGCAGTTGGCAACTCCTCCATTCTTCCATGTTTAGCATTTCCACCCACATTTCGACAACCCTTCGACAGTATGCTTTGTTGCACTGCATAGATACAAATTAGTGGAAAGCGCACCGGCTGCTGGTGCGAAGGTTCGTTTTTTTGCATAGTTCCTCCGAAGATTTTTGTTGTTGATGGCACTTTCTTTCCGGCCGGTAATTTTTTATAGCTTTAGGATATTCTACTCCGTTGGCGTGCCTTTTTTGGCCATTAATAATCAGCTTTTCCCATCGATTGAATGTACTGCAGCATTGCCATGTGTGCCCTTCCTCTCACTGTGCAGTGCTCGTAAAATGATTTTCCATGGCAGTTATCTCTTGCAAACAGACAGGAACATGATTTGGGCCAATTGTCGTAGAGTTTCTAAAGGCGCAAAATCCACCTAGAGTTCGTTAGTGCCACAATTGCATAGAATGCCACCAACGAGATTGGCGTTTTTAATAAGAATGCGGTATTTTGGAAAAATTATTAGGATTCTGTGAAGCTGATCAGTGCAGCTTGCAGTAAAATAGAGAAGGAGCAGACACGTTATCGTCTTCCGGATCATTTTCCTGGTCATCATTGCTGGGATGACAACGACTCACGATATCTGATATGTGAAGCAAACTACTGCAAACCGGATATTGTAACTAAATTTGTTTATCGTTTTCATTTTTCTTTGTTGTGCCGTAGCTGACAGAAGTTTGTGAATGCCCAGAATGTTATATATAGTCCGCGAAAAGCCGATCAAGAAGGAGCAGCCGCAAGGAAGCGATAAAACTGCCTACGTAAAGCAAAGAAGAAAACGAAGGTGTATTTGAAAGGTAGATGTATAGTTGGTGTGCTGCCAGGCTGAACCGATAGTACAAGGGTCGGCGGTGTATCGGGTAGCACTCCTAGTCCGTAACAGTTTTTCACAAGGATTTCTACTTATGACAGTACCAACCTCTGCAATTCGTAGTAGCCTAGATGGTTAAAATTTAATCAATATCTGGGAGGATGAATTGAATAGCAGCGCTTACTATTTAGAAAATGTGCTTACACTTTCCTGCAAAAACATCGCCTGGACAAATTATACGGGTACGAAAGGTCCCTCCTTACAATTCGTGATGCGGTTTGGTTGCCCAGCCTCATACTGAAGTTGTAAAATAGTATCTTGGATCATAAGGCAATAACAAATTAAGCATTTTAAATTTGAACTCGAGGGTTTGTTAGACATAAAAATGGCACAGATTAAATCTGAAGCGCAGGTAAGAAAGCCAAAATAAATTTGAAATGATTTCACCAGTTTCGTGGCCTTGCACACAATAAGAAACTTCTCAGACATGTGTCTCTTTGGTACTTGAGTTATCAAAAGTTTTACAAATTTTGGCTTTAGACCAAAGATCTAGCCTCGTGATGAACTAAATTTTTCTCTCAGGTTTTGATTAAGAACACAGTTAGGAATTTCCTCCCCAAAATTTTAAACCTGCGACTTTTTGGTTTTTGAGTCCTAAAATTTGTGTGAATTTGCTGAGATCAAAAGTCAGGACACAGTCCCACATGCAAAAGCTCTTAAATTTCCCAGCTCATTTGTGGTCAGGAACTTTTTTTCCCAAAATTTCAGCTTGGTGACTGTTTCTGCTCTGGAGTTGGATTATGACCGAATTTAGATCTCAGAATCCGGGCTAATTCAAGCTCCAAGCCTCGCAAGTAATCGGATGTTTCCTTCCCAAAATCTCTCAGTTGTGCATCTTTCTGAATCCTGATATATAACACTTGTTTAAATTTAGACGAGGGGCTAAAGGTCATAACAAAAATTTGAAACTTGCTTTCCAGGACATGGCCTTTTAAATGGTCACAAGTTTTTTCCCCGCAGTGTCAAACTCGTAACATATTTGGTTTTGGAATTGATGAATTTGTCTGAAGCTGGGCCTTGTGTTTAGAGGTCAGGGCGCAGGCAACTTGAAAGTTAATTTCAGTTCCGAGGGCTTGTGGTCGAGTAGTTTGTTCACAAAATTTCAATTTCTTAGCGTTTCTAACCCATAACACATGTGTTTAAAACAAACAAGCAAATACCCGTACATTTGTTATTGCAGTAATGTAATTTTACGTTCTGATGCAACATCACAAACGTAAATAGTAGTGACAAACAGTTCCTAATTTGATTTCCTGCAAGTGAATATCTGCGAAAAAGAAATTTCCCATTTTAGGGGCCGAATTACTTGTTGTCGATGTTTGTGACGACGGAAGATGGCCTGCACATGCAGGATTTACAGCCGCGCCCGCAAAGCGCCGAGGCTTTGTTCAGCTGTGCTGTGCCGTATATCTACTTTATTCAAAAGGTTATTTTCTACGATGATTCTTGTCTTTTTACGAAGAACTGGGAGGAGTACTGAGCCTCCCTGACAGGATGTGGGCAGATATTGGATATCCTCATGAACGCACAATTTTCAAGATATGTATCTTTCGATGCGCTGTTATATATGCAGAGAAAACTCTTTCATAGCGAAATCACATTTTGCGTTTTGTTACTAACAGCCCTTTACTTTCTCATACTAGATTGGTGTTGTGAGCAGTTAAAAGTGTTATTATTA